AGGCGGAGCGACTGATCGCTGGGCCTTTACTGGGTCAGTCTCACACAGCTGGTAAGGACAAGCCGACTGACTGACTCGTCTTTACAGCCGAGGATGTGCTCCCCGGCTGGTGGCCGCCCAGGCGCTGCAGTAGCTTCAGCACCTTAGCATCTCTGTCTTTGCAAGTAAGGCAGCCATGACATGAAATACCTCGCGCATTGCAGGCACAGCAGTTCCGGCACTGCGGCAGCTCTGGCAGTGCAGCAGCTCTGGCACTGTGGCAGCTCTGGCGGTGCAGCAGCTCTCGCACTGCGGCAGCTCTCGCACTGCGGCAGCTCTGGCGGTGCAGCAGCTCTGGCACTGTGGTAGCTCTGGCGCCGCCGCAGACGCTTACGGCGCAGCAGTGTGTGTCCAGTGTGTCTGTGTAGCGGAGGGTGACGCCGTGCGGCCCACTCTCTCACGCGCGTCAATACCCGCCGACCGGCACGTTGACGGCCGTGCCGCGATCCCAGCAGTGCAGCGTCAGACAACACGGCTGACTTGGGCTGGGAGGTCCACCGGAGCTCCCCCCCCCCTCCCCCAGGAAACCACTGACAGTGCACCGCAGCCTCCGCCAATTCCGAGCCTGTTATCCACGCAACTTGTGTGGATAACAGGTTGGCTGAGTTTGTTATGCTTTTGGGCTGAGCATAGAATAAAAAGACGCGCTCAGTCATCAGCAGGTCGCCATACATTGAGGCGTGTGGTGACATTAAACTTGGCGAGAGTTTTGAAATTTGCGGAATCATTAGACCATGAAGAGAAAGCTTCAACCATGAAATGAAATATTGAGCGTGAGCGACAACCATGCCGCGACTACATGCACATCGAAACCAAAAACGATTTTTTAATAATAGCCATTGCTTGGACGACGTAAGTAAGTATGATGCGAAACCCATTATACTCCTGAGTTCCACATTCGTAGCTAAAAGTAAAACTCACATTGATAAAGGAGGCAACAACGAGCTTGTCTCAGGCACTGTATTTACCCGCCGTGGGTTCTAGCCGTAGCTGGTGGGCTATCAGCGACCTTTGCTCGGACGTCCCGAACTATCCCTATGCTCCACTGTCGCGTGTCGGTTTACCATGTGGGACACAGTACCAGGGATGGTGTTGTGTGCGTCTTCGGTATATATGCGTCTACGAAGTGGTGTCTAAACTAGCCACGAACGCAGTATTTTGCTTTGTTGCTGCTTTTAGGGACGCTACGCTTCCTGTTGTATGACGGAGAAACAAAACAGCATTCGTGACCAGTTAAATGGACACTTTATTAAAATACTATAAATGAACACCTTACTTAAATATTATAAATGACGTACATTTGCGAAGAGCGTTCAGACCACTGGGGGATCACATGTTAGACTGACTCGCGGCAGTGGAAGTGATGTACTATTACATTTTAGCGATAGCGTAAAACACCGGGATCTCACGGCATTAGAACTGCTAAACATCCGTACTTTTCGTCCAGGACTGAGCACACAAGCGTCGTCTTGAGCAATGGTTAGAGCAACGTTGTTGAGCTTATGCAGTATGTAGTAACCTGAGACAAAACTGTGCCGATTAGAAATCATTCAGCTGATTATGCATGCCTTTCGCAAGGCGGAAGTATGCGAGCGTTCGTATTTCATCGGTGTCAGTGACGTTATCGGGCACACCAGATTAGGCGCTATGACCTATTTTGATCACTGAATATCCATCCGATAAACGTGCTCGGGACAAACACCAGCTATGACAAACATCAGATGTGACAAAAATTATGTAGACATTTTAGTTTAATATAGGAGTACCCTGACGTGATACGTTGGCATGCGAATACGTGCTTGGCAATCAGCCTCTGCCCTCCAACGATTCATTTATTTAATCATATTTTTTGCGCATATCACAAACACACTTTGCCAAAATAGCTATTGCTTTCCTTCGTCACTCAGGTTTATATACAAAATAAAAGCTAAGAAGACCAGCTTGGCGGGCCACACAAAAATCACAATTAGATCTACAAATAGCATCCACCGAATTGCATTGTGCCAAATACATTGTGCCAAACTGACAATGCCAAGCGTCAGGTGATCCAGACAGGTCATCATTGAAGCTGCCTGCTGTTAAGCAGGTGCCGCTTGAATGTTGTACGGGGCGGGTCGCGGCTAGGAGAGTAAAATAGCTTTAGGTGGGAGACACATGTATTCAACCAGTAGCGCATTATATGACGCCGCTGCCTTCAACACGAAGCGGATTCCGAAAACATTTTCGGTGGATGGAACATATTTCCACGTCTGGCGTTTCAGGAGTGGATATCACGACTACATGATGCTAGTAAGGAGCGCGCCTCAAGTTCTGATGCGATATTCACCTGACGTGAGGCAGCCAGAGTGGTATTGTCACGCAGCCGGTCAGCGGACTGCCCAGGCCAACTTCAGTGCGGACCCCATACATCGCGCCTATGTAAATATATATATATATATATATATACATATGTCTATATATATATACATATATCTAACCATATATGTGGTCCGATGTTTGCGTGATGAGACTTGGGCGCTGAAGGTGCATTTTTGAATTATGATGTCACATGTTCCGTGGTCGTCCCAGACACAGCAACGCAATACCGGACTGATGTCACAACGATTCAAAAGGTCAATCTTCAGCGTACGTGAAATCTCGAATGGCTTGCCGTGCTTCGTGTGGCACACAGCCAAGACGTTTGAGGAGTGTATCACCAGGGGAGATAGATATATAGGAGATAATACGGGAGATATCTGCGTGTCGGTCACACAAGACGCCCCAGTTATTGACCTTTGCTTGGTGCTACTATGTTCAACGAATTCTGGACCCAAGGTTTTCAGATCTTGACGAAATCTAAAAAGAGCTATCCGCAATTCGCTAATGTTTGATGGTTTTTTATTTCATGATGTTTGTGCGGAAGCCCCACGCCCGAGAAGCCATACTACGGATTATTTTCTGTACATCAGCAATATCATGTTTCGAGACCGAACGCGTATGAATGGATACCGGCCGCATGCCGGGGAGCGACGGGCGGGGCGAAAATAGCCACATGTCGGAAAGCCGCACCTTCGATCGCTTCACTGTATACTTTTCAGATGGATTCTCGGAGCGGATTAGTATTTACAGCACCACGAAATCATGGTGGGGTCTCCTTTCTTTGTGTTGCTGGAACTGCTAACTAATCCTTCCAGAGGACCAACTTCCAAATTAAAAAGGTGAGCTGTGCGCCCAGTCTCATCTCTGAATAGAACCCATGATTTTTGAAGACTTGCAGAAACAGCATTTCCCAACGCATGGTCGTTGTCTCATGACCACCGCCTGGTGTCCGGTGCGGTGACAACATCTCGCGTTTCGACGGGCACTGCAACTCATGACATCAATGTTTTTGCTCCCAAAGCTTTCAGCGCGCTTAGAAACCTCATCTTGCTTTTATCGTTACCTTTCCCGATCACGGAGACCGTGGGTTAAAACGCTGGAAGCCCAGCACCTTTTCGGTTAGGGGCTATAGGGCCCTTCCGTCCCAGTTCGGGGTACCATCAGCTGCCATTCTGCGACACGGCGGTCGGGACCCCATGGTCAATCCGGAGGCCTCTAAGTGATACATCATACATTGGTTCCCTCCTTGATGCGGGAGGCCTTCTGACCAGGGCGGTCGACGCAAAGACGCTGCAAGAATCACCGGCGCAAAAGGATCCCTCACTGGGCATGGGGTCCCATAGCTGGTACGCGGATTCCAGTTCCGATGCTCGCGCCCCGGGCCGAAATGGGACGGAGGATGGGATGGTTCGGTGCTGGGGCCTCTGACTGACATAAAGCCCTTCCCTTCTCAATGTAGACCCTTCCATCGTTTATTCTCAAATTTTTGCTGTTAAAGAGCACTTATCAATGCAAGAGGCCCTCTGACATTCTAGGCCCCTCCCTGTCACAGTCGCCGCATTCCTTTGAAACAAATGCCCATATTAAGCAAATACACACCTGGCCCCCACGGTACCCATGCCGACGAAGGATTTACTGTTCGGCGCTGTAAGTCCCTGGCCGATATAGGGGCCCCTCACAGTTTCAGGGGCCCGACCAATACTGGAGGTCTTTAGTGGGATTCGAAGGCCAGTGGCGCAGCAAGGATTCTGTTCCAAAGAGGGCCAAATCGCGCCGCAGGGAGGCCCTAACAACCGAGGGGCCGTCTTCTTTGCTGTAAGGTCCCTTTTTAATTCGGAGGACCTTTTAAAGCCCAAAATCCTGTTTTGATGCATCAGGGGCCCATTTCCAGAAGTTCTAAAGCTCCCGGGGCCTTTAAAACTGACAAAAAGAGGTGGGGCCCCCACCATCTCCAGGGTGCAAGGCCACGAAAGCTCCTTCGGTTACGCAACTGTCGAGAGGGCCCGGCCCTGAGGGCAGCGGCCCATCAATACGACCTCCAGTCAGCCCTTCCTTCGGACTCTTCGGTCTCCGGGTCTTTGATCGTCATCTCGAGAGGCCCAAGAGACCCCTGGGAACCTAAGGGGGTGGGGATGGGTGGGGGTGGGGGTACGTGCCCCGCGTGGCCCTTTGCCTGCACCTCTATTCTATACGATTTCAAACTTACTTCTTCCTACAACCGTCGTAAAAAGACGGGCAGGGGCAATGTCCTCATTTTTGAGCATGTGTAGCACTGGCCTTGTGACGATGCAAAAAAGGCATAGACAAAACAGGCACTGGCCTCTTCACTTTCCAAGGCAATCCCACACGCCAATAATTTGTTCTGTTGTCGAGGTGAGTTTTAAACTGCAAAAGTTTGAAAAGAACAATTTTAGAATATCAGCGATTAGTATAATCGCACAGCGCATCGTGAAATCGATTTTCGCTTTTCTCAATGATCACGAACAATTCAAACGTTTTATGTTCCCGCCTCTGGGATCTTCCATATGGAAGCGTGGGTCCTCTACGTTTGGTAGCGCTTGGGATCTGCCGCGAACGATTTTACTCCCACTGCGTCAGCGGCAGCGAGCGTCGCAAACCGCGTTGTTTGTTGATGGGCGCCAGGGTCGTCCGTTGCGTTCCCGCGAGTGATTGGAAGCGTGTTCAGGACATCATACCGGTTATCGACTGGTTCGACCCATCGTAAGCAATGGAAAAGCGCATTGGACTCGAGCTGAGAGGTCGGAAGCCTGAAGAGGTGAGTCCTAGCACTCTTTCTCCTATTTGATGTGCTGCTGCGGTGCGCCGCTATTGTCGCGCTGATGCACACGGTCGTTTTTCAAATGTTGTGTACGCGTTGAGGCTGAATCTGTGCAGTTGCTATCAGTTTGTGAGCATGCTTTGTTATTCATCATTATCATCCAATTCATGCATACAGCTAGGAGGGACATCCACTAAGGTGTTAGGTTTCTCAACAGCAATGGTCATCCCTGCCCATGAGCAGATGGCATGCTGCATGTTAAGTATCCCGGATTGTCGGCCATTTTTCCCTTAGAACCTTGCAATGTTGTTGGTAGGATGTTTCTGGCAATTTTTCACAGCTGCTTCTCTGAAATGTCCTGGTTTTACTGGCAGACATTACTTTACAGGCAATAGAATTACTTTAGTTCCAGCAAAGGATGATATCAGTTTGATAGCACATTTGTATTCTGTTACTTTCACACAGATTATGTTGACAAAAAATGTGTTAAGAGTGTGAGTGGACAGAATTCAGGACACTGGCAGCATTTGAATCCTTGTTGAAAGCATGTCCGTGCTAACTGGCGAGTTCCGAATTGAGATATCACTCCCGAGTTTGTTGTAGCTGTGCTGTGGAGGTCCCTCAGACTCATCCAAAAAACCTCCATGTGAAGGGTACTGGAAAAGCATCTTTTTCAACTTGCTGTCGGGTGTGTACCCTCATGTCCAGTAATACATCTTAAATGACACCTTAAAGGCTTGTGGCAGGTATTTATTCATTGTCAACTCAGGGTTGTTGCTCATTTTTAACATTGTCATTAGCAAAGCCATAATATCCACACAACTAAACCACCAGAAACACTGCCTGCCAGTGACATTGGTACCTTCTGTCATTTCTACCTCTTCAGCGCCATCGCGGCGGTGGCGATGACGTCACAGTACCCACACGCGAGCCGGCCGGCAGACAGCGGTGGTAGCCATCTTGGTTAAACTTGGGCAGGGTAGTTCGCGCTTCTGCAGCGACACAGCACTCCTAGCGGTTGTCAAAGGTGATAAGACATCGCGCGAGATACGTCTCTGACTGGATTGGACGGCGCTTAACAGAGACCGTGCGCTCGAACGAGCCCCTACGCGAGGGCCCCCGTGGCCTTGGCACGACAACACTGAGGCTGGGCCGGCGAACGCGATCAATGGCAGTCGACACCGGCCGGCGTATTTGTCCGCGCAGAAATATAGTACCGCCCCGGCACAAGGTCATTGTCGGCAATGGGCACCGGAGCCATAAGATGTCGGAAGATATATGCATGCTGAAGATTGATCGCGTGTGTGTGGCCAACTATTGTCATTGCTGCGCTGCGCCACGTTACGCCAGCAGCCAGTTTTGCATTGCCATGGGAAGAAGGGAATGAGAGCGCGTGGTTAATGGTTGATGCTAATTTTTCAGCCTATCTTAAGCTAATTGACTTGGCAGGTGACATAGACTGTTCCGAGTGTAGTGTCTCTCTATTGTTATGGAAATTTACTATGGGCATACGCGCTTAATCCAGACTGAATTTGCCTTACGGTTTATTTCCCCCCCCCCTTACTGAGGAAGAGGTAATGGTGCACGGTTTCCACCTCGGGGGGGGGGGGGGGGCTCGGGGCGTCACGGGCGGCACCACCAACCTCCAACGAGGCAAGGGTATCTTGAGCCCTTTGAAGCAGACGTAGGATCTCCTTTGCCATCCCCTATTAAAAAAACTCGTATTCCGCCCGCGTTTTTTTAGAAGGGCCCGGGTGTAGGTAATGAGATCACCCTTGGTGGAGTCTATAACCTTTGTAATCGGGGCTCGCTAGGCTCCTTACCTTTGGCGTGGGCGTCTTATGCGCCTGCTGAGGCCTCCCGTTGACCAATGGTGCTATCTGGAATTTCTTCATCTTTTCTTCACCTGTGATTCTGGGACTTCTATTCAATTTGATGGATGATTTCGTCTCGGTCATCTGGAGTCTTCTGTCTGGATGATGGACCTCCTGAAATGTCAGCGCGCACTGGACATGCGCCGGCTGCAGTTCCGCCGACGCCAGCGGCATTAGGCGTGTCGAATTTCGGCGCCTTGGTGCCAAATGAAATTCTGTGGCACCAGCTTGGTGGACGGCTGATATAGCGGTTCCATCGAGTCAGCGACTGACCTAGTGGTGCCATCGAGTCAGCGTGGTGACCTAGCGATGTCATCGAGTCAGCGGGCCGACTTAGTGCTACAATCGAGTCAGCGGACTGACCTACCGGTGCCAAGTCAGCACACTCAAGCGGGCGCCATGGGCGCGATTTCGGCAGAACACGGCGACGTCAGCAATGGACGCCAGGTCTTCCCTCATTGCCAACCACGCGAACACAGGGACATGAAATCGGGCGGTGGCTGAGGCTGGTGGTCGCGGCCGCGGAGTCGGTGGGGCGAAGCTCACTGTCTGCGTTGCCGTGTTACCGCGGCGTCAGGTGCGCCGTCGCCCGCTACACGCGGAAAATGTCGGCTCTGCGTGCGGTGGGAAATAAGTGTCGTTCGGAAAGTTTAAAAAATATTTGTTTCGTCTTTGGTCACATGTGCTAAGGAGCTGGGCTCACTGATGACATTTTACGAAAATTGTGTGAAGCAGTGCGCAGAACACGCAGTCGGGAGACGAAAGCTAAAGCCACTCACTAGTGCTGTAAGATGCTGGGAACGTGGCCCAAATGTTATGCCGAGGTCACAATAGTCGACGCGCTCTTAAAAGGTCAGCTGGAGAAAGAGTGCAAGATCGACATGCATTCGTTGTTTGGCATTAGAGCTGGAAATGTACTTTGGGTAAAGAAGAGCTTTTGCATCGTTCTGGAGAAAATGCTGTTGAAATACTTTGTCGTTAGTCCCTATCGGTTTGATGTCAAGTGATTGAAAGTTGGACAGATTGAACATCTGGTCCTTGAGGCCTCAACCTGCATCGCCCCGGTGTCCAAGTCTCCTGGATTCCTGACCAGGTGGGGCGTACGCTCTTATTAGTTGGGGCTGGCCTGCTCCTCGTATTTCCCATGGGCCTCCTGGTTAGGTTTTTGCCTAGGCTGTGCCATCTTCACCGAGGCATACTCCTAACCCACACGTTCGTCTGGCGGAAGAGGCGGCGCGTTTGGAAGCGAGGGCGTTTGTTCCAGGCCGACTCGGATGGCCGCTGAATTTACTGGCGGCTGCTTCCTTTGATGCCGTGCTGATCCCCGGCGGACATTGGCCCTGGCAGCTGGTCCGCTGTCTTTGGCGCCGCGGGCCGCGCCCTCCTCGGTCGCGACCCATGTCGCCGATCGACGGCGACCGAGAAACCCGCAGGAGGTCGGGACGCCAGGGCTTCTGCCACAGCCGCCACCTGGAGGGAGCAAAACTTCTTAGCTTTGTCTAGTTTAAATTCGCGCGGATAGGTGTCGCACGGAAACAAAGCCGATCGCTCCGCTGTTCCTGGGGTCGGGGTTTGTGAGGCTCGTGCGTAGGTAGCCCTCTGGAATTTCTCAATGTTATGCACATAATGTCTTGTATGTCGTCTCGAGGGAATCCTCATTGGGTAGGTCTTCGTTTTTCCACGCGAAATTCGCTGCATTTTCTGGATGGTGGCGCCAGAATACAAAACAAATTTAATGTTTTCTTCCGCTTGTGGTGATTAGGAATGGATTATAGGTCAAAATACACTGCAAGGGGTGTGATGAAGGCGCCTTAGATACGTTTACTTAATTTCGGCGCAGTCGTTTGGCTCAAATTGGGCTTGAAAATATACAAATTCTTTAATTTGCAAAACTTCCAAATGTCCTCACGTCAATATTCCTGGGAAATAAAAAAAAAATGATAAAGAGTCTCATGTCCACGAGCGTGACGAAAAAGTATGGCAGTCAACAAGGGACCTACTTGTGTTTTAACGAAGTTCAAGGCATCAAGCTTGATGGTGTTGTCGCTTTTTTGCTCACTTTGGTTGAAGGCGGAGGCTGGATGAGGAGCCCATAACCCAACTTACTCCGAAATCAATCCAGAACTACACCGGTACTTGCCTGTACCCGCATTTTTAGTTTGTTGTGAGGACGAGGCCGGGAATGGGGGTGCCTGGAAAGGTGGGGCGAGCAGAGGTTGGACTACGCCAGCTCATGGCCCAGGGTCTGTTGTGAGGTATTGTTACCTGTAAGTTTATGGTAAAGAACATGCTGGGCTTAGTGGTCCCCCGATCCATTATGGTGCCACTTGGGTTGAAAATATCGCAACATTCTGTGATGGCTGTCACATTTCACGCCTAATTGAAAGGTGGAACATTCCTGGTTTTTTGTCGTAGGAGCTAAATTCGCCTCCGATTCCAGGTACAACTCCTTTTTTGCCCATCCAATTCCTCATGTGGAGTGGCCTGTCATTGCCATTGCCATTTTCTTGGTCATAATACTTCACATCTTATGTTACGTGGGCTGGGTGAAAGGAAGTCTGACATAAACACTTCCAGGACGCGAGCGAATCCCTCATCCGAGGTCATGCAAACCAGGTACGGTGTTGTAATACGCAACAGGGTCGAGTGTATTTTCTTCGCATGTGTTTTCATCGTGCACATGCTATCTGTATATGGCTGCTTGTCTGCTGCACACTGGAGGATCGTGCGGTCACACATTGGACACTGCCCGCCAGCTGGCCGAGCTGAACCTGGACAACTGCAAGTCGCCAACCATCGATGGTCTGACAGACAAGTTCTCCAACCTGGAGGTGCTCAGTCTGAACAGCGCCGGTCTCACCTCGCTCAAGGGCTTTCCTGCACTGCCCAAGCTGAGGAAGGTACGTTCGTCGGCACACGCGCCAACGCTGGCCCGGCGGCGGGCTGATCTCGCAGGTGGCATAGGTAGCCCCGTGGGGTCCGAGGTGTCAGGCTCAAAATGGAGATGTGTGGGGCCCCATTGGTGCCCATGAAACAGGCATATGCCACTGCCGCCACCAAGGTGAAGTGGGCTGGCAAGGTCGGCAGGCCCCTGGAGGTCATGTGAAGGTCCCGGTAGGCACTAAAGACGAAGATGTTTTGAATGGTTCTCCCGCGGCCTGCGGCCCTCCCCGGCTAGATCGGGAAGCTGGCCCGCGAAAGCCAGGTGGTGCCCGTTTTAGTTCGCCCGAACGCGTCCATTCCGTCTTGTGTTCCTTGACTGGATACATGTCTGTGTTTTGGGTGATGAACACGTAATTCGCTAAACGCATGGGAGATTCTAAACAGAATGCCGTAGGTTAGATGACAGTACTGAAGACGCCAGTCGTTAGCCAATGCCGCTGAACCCATATTTGGAACGTGCTCACTCAGTTCTACTGGGCGTGGAGCAGAGACTTGAGCTTATGATTATGAAAGGACTATAGCCGAAACTGTCCGGGTTATGCTGCCATACCACTTTTGGTTCTTGTTCGTTGCATAATGAGGCATTCGCTCACTCAAGGGATTCAAAATGGATTCAAACGCTAGGATTCTTGTTCTTTGCATAATGAGGCATTCGCTCACTCCAGGGATTCAAAAGGGATTCAAACGCTAGGATTCTTGTTCTTTGCATAATGAGGCATTCGCTCACTGTATTTTCACAATTACGATGCTGGGGTCGAGCGTCCGCCGTGAACCCAGCTCATGTGGCGCTTAACTGCGACAACAATGCTGCATAAAAACCGCCCCCATTGGGATACCTTCATTCTCCTTTATGCTTAAGGCGGCCAAAAGTGCCAATAAAAGGTCTGCAATTTAACTTACCCTTTAACGAGCACAGCAATCTGACCCCTGAAAGCAGGTTTTCAACAACGAATCACGAACAACGGAAAGTGCAGGCCGCTTTTACACGGGGCCTCAGCTGGTATTGCCATCAACTACAGCTGCCGTTATTGCATTACCACCGTGGCGCACACGCCCCTCCCGTGCAGCATTACCGTGCTTACCGTGGTCACGTGTCCCGTCAGCTGGAGGTGAGCGATAACCGGATCTCGGGCGGTTTGAACGCGCTGGCCGGCTGCACAGCGCTCAAGTCGCTCAACCTCAGCGGCAACCGCATCAAGGACCTTGAGTCGCTCAAGCCGCTGGCTGACCTTGCCAACCTGAAGAATCTCGACCTCTTCCACTGTGAGGTCACCAACCTGGAGAAGTACCGCGACGAGGTGTTCAAGATGCTGCCGTCGTTGGTCGGTCTGGACGGGTAGGTCTGGCGCCGACGAGTAATTGCGATGGATTTCAAAGACTTGCTGAGATGCTCAGTCTACGTTTATAAGAAAAACAATGCTGTATTCTGGACAGGTCAGCAGTGTGGCGAACCGCCGTAGCAGGGTAGGAAAGTAGCAGCACAAGAAAACCCTAGTGATGCCGAAAAACTAAGGTTTAAACGTGAGAGCTCACTGTTCATATAACAACGTCGATGAATCTGGACCAATCCATGGAGCTTCCCATCTCTTGTTTGCCTCATCTCCCATAAGTGCTCGCCTCCCCCACACCCCGCCCCCGCTTAATGTGGCATCCAGGCACCCAGAAGGCCACCCGAACTAATCGCAAAATAGCAAGAGGTTGTTTTATCTGATCTCTATCTTCTCACTTACTTATGTCCTTATATTTCGTAACTTTCCACAAGATCCAGTGGCTTTTTAGAAGTTACACGTCATCATATAGCAACACTGCATGCATGTCACTGCATGTCAAGAAATTCTTCTCTTCCTTTTGGGTCGTTCTGATGTTTTGTTTTGGGTAGTTAATGATGTTTCATTGCATCACAGCCGCTGTTTTCCTCTGTCTGTGTCATACCTGTTGGCGCGTTGCGTGCTTTCGTAGATTGCGGAGATCGCGCGTGTCGTGACTGTGTACCCCACGTGTGCAGATTCGACAAGAACGAAGAAGAGGTTGAGGACTCGGACGATGAGATGAACGGCGTGGATGAGGAGGAGGACGGCGACGAGGAGGCCGCCGACGGTATGATTTCACACTGGCAACATCCCTGGTGTATCCTGTGAGCCAAGGCTGCCGAGTGTCTAACTATCGGGTCGCTTCGCTGCCAATGCCTTGTCACTGCCTGTGTCTGTCAGAGCAGAAAGGCGGCGAAGGACATGTGGAGCAAGGGGTGTCTTGCACCCGGCGCAAAACAAACCAGGAGTCGCCCCGCACGCTCATCCATGGGCCCGCGGGTTTATCTGGCGGGTGATGGCGTCCAGGTGTGCTGGTCATTCCAAGACCTTTGCTGGAAGAAGCCGTGGATCATTGCAAGTCGGTAAACTATCGATATCCTCGTGTTTTGGGACGGCGTGCAATGATTTTGACAGCTATAACTGATAGCAGCACTTGCGCCCAAAATTCTTGATGTTCAGTAAATTGTTCGTGCTCCGCTGCTTAACAATGCTCGGTGATCATTGCATTACTATCAATTAGACTGAAGAGAAGCTGCGTGTCTTAGTCAAACAGCGGAGAGCTGCTTTTCTGGCCCGTATCCTACGGGGCAAAACAACTGGGCTGCATCGAGCACGGCAGCTGTAGCTGCACCCGCGACGGTCGGGTCAGGCGCGTCGAGTGCCGATGCATGGGCGCCAGGTACAGTCCCCTGGCGCCGGTCACTTGAGGTGGCGCTCTTGCGTTCCCATCAGCAACCCGCGAGGCAAAAATGTATAGGCGGAACTGGGTGCTCCAAGTAAATATAATTCCGCCATCATTTGACGGACAGGGTTTCCCTCACTTCGTTTGCTGGGTATTCTGGTGGTCCGAGATAGAAATTCCTTAAATCCTGGAGATCATTTTTCCTGGTGTCGGAAACAGTTACGAGGTACTTTTACGTCCATATTCTGACCTGAATGGCTTCATGGGGAGTATGGGTGGAATCGGGGCCCCTCTCTCCCTCACCCAACTTTTGGCAACACGGGGTTCAATCCCAGAGACACATTATCTTCCATGAGGTAGGAATAAAATGTGCGTACCTGGCTGCTGCGAGGAAGGAGCAAAATTTACATGCCTCGCCAATGTGGAGAAGGACCAGACCTTGCAATGCGGAGAATGCGTAGGTTCGCTTTATATAATAAGT